TGAAGCTGGTATAGGTTTTGCAATCAAAACTAATCTAGTCAACAAGCTTGTATGCCTACCAAAAAGAGTAAATAACAGGCTCATGACAATGTGATTGCCACTTGGAGGGAAGTGCCATACCACCCTTACCAGTGTCTATGCTCCCACCATGTGAAGTCAAAGAAAAATTTTATGAAGACCTGGAGATCCTCATCATCACTGTGCCAAAAGAGGACATACTTATAATTCTGGGTTACTAATTCTAGAGTAGGACATGGCAGGTAGTCCTTTGGAGGAATGGCATTGGAAACAGCAACATCAATGGCCAATTGATACTGAAGCCTTGTGCATCTCATGACCTTCTCATCACCAACACTGTCTTCTGTTTACTTATATGCAGTAAAACATTATGGATGCACCTTTGCAGCAAACATTGGCATTTAGTAGACTATGTCATTGTAAGGTGAGGAGATAGATTGTAAAAGTGACAAAGGCAATGTGTGGCACAGAGTGTTGGACTGATCATAGACTTATCTTCTCCAAGCTAAGTATTCAGATTTAAAAGAGCATCAGCCCCAAGGCAAAATGACGACCAGAAGATTTAATGTCAACAGATTAGAGCACTTTTTTGAGCAAGAACAGTTTGTTGTTAATTTGGAGGGAAAGTTGAGTCAACACATGGTTGACAGCAATGGAGCAGAAAAAAGAATGGGCAGCTTTCAGAGATCTGGTGTACAGCACTGTATTTACTTATCTGAGTCAGAACACTTGCAAACATCTAGGCTGGTTTGATGAAAATGATGGGGAAATTCAGAAGCTGCTAAATGAAAAATGAGAAGTCCACAGGGTTTACCAGCAGGATAGTTCATTCATCTCTAAGAAGGCAGTATTTAATACCATCAAAAGTGCAGTACAAGTGAAGCTTAGAGAGATGCAGGATTCTTGGCTCGGTAAGAAGGCAGATTAAATTCAGTTTTATGCTGACAGTAACAATCTAAAGTGCTTTTATGATGTCCTGAAGGCTATTTATGGCCAAAGAGGTATGGTGCATCTCAACTACTTAGTGCTGATGGAGCCACATTGACTAGTGTTAAAGACATGATCCTGGAAAAATAGGCTGAATACTTCCACGGAGTTTGCAACAGACTGCCATCAATCAAAGCTGAAGCCATTGACTATTTACCTCAAGTTCAAATCAATCCCTGACTAGCCAAATTTCCAGTAGCAAAAGAAGTTTTGAATGTCATTAGGCTCCTTTCATGTGGCAAAGCACCCGGTGCTAATTCTATTCCAGCTGAGATTTACAAGGTGGAGGGTCCATGGCTCATACAATATCTGACTGAAATTTTCTGGATTACATGGCAAGAGGAGGTTATCCCCCAGGAGTTCAAGGATGCCTACATGGTCCATCTCTACAAAGTAAAGGAAATAGATTATCCTATGACAATCACAGGGGATTTCTTTCTTAGCCATTGCTGGCAAGATTCTTGTCAGAATCCTTCTTAATAGGCTAATCCCTTCATCTGGAAGATGGTCATTTACCTGAGAGCCACTGTGGCTTCAGAAAGGGCCAAGGAATGGCCTACGTGGTGGTTAGTGCCCAACAACTCCAAAAGAAATGTTAGGAGCAGAACAGAGGTCTGTACACAACAATTGTCAATCTGACCAAGGCCTTTGATACTCAGTGGTGAGGGCTTATGGAAAATTATGTCAAAATTTGGTTGCCTGGAAAAGTTCATCAGTATTGTACATCAATTTCATGATGGCGTGCTTACCCAGGTTCTAGATAATGGATGCTGCTCTGACACTTTCCCAGTCATCAATGGAGTGAAATAATATTGTGTGCTTGCTTGCACCCTTTTTAGCATGATGATTTTAGCCATGTTGTCAGATGCCTCCCATGAGGATGAATATAGCATCAAGATCAGCTTGGTAAATTATTTAACTTGAAAAGGCTAGAAGCCAAGACTAAAGTGGAGGGAGAGTTGGTGCATGATTTTTTTGTTTGAAGATGATTGTGCGCTCAATGCAGCCTCTGAGGCTGATATGCAACAAAGTATGGATTCTCTGCTGCTTATACAAATTTTGGCCTAACAATTAACACCAAGAAAACACAGGTGCTCCACCAGCCAGTACCACACCATCTATACTTGCAACCATCAGTTACAGCAAATGGAGAAGTTCTGAATACTATGGATAAGTTCGCTTATGCTGTCCATATACTTTCCAGGGATGTACAGATTGATAATGAGGTTCATGCAGGCATTACCAGAGTTAACACAATGTTTGGGAAGCTCTGAAGGAAAGTGTGGAAAAGGAGAGATATAAGGATGACTACCAAACTGAAGGTCTACAGAGCCATTATGCTGACCTCATTATTGTACACCTGTGAAACCTGGACAGTCTACCAGCGCCATGCCAGGAAATTGAATTGCTTCCATTTGAATTGTCTTAGGAAGATTCTGAAGATCACCTGGCAGAATAAGTTACTGTACCCTTGAGGTCCTTTCTTGAACTAAACTGCCAGGCATTTAAACTCTACCACAGAGAGCACAACTCCAATGGACTGGCCACATTGTTTGAATGCCAAATGTACACTTGCCTAAAAGACTATTTTATGGAGAACTCACACAAGACGAGTGATACAAGGAAATTCTTAAGGTCTTTCTGAAGAACTTTGCAATTGATTGTGTGACATGAGAGACGCTGGCACAGGACTGCCCAGCATGGAATGCCCTCATGAAAGAAGGTCATATGCTCTATGAGCAAAGAAGAATTGAAGTAGCTCAAAAGAAATGCAAGATGTGCACATTTAGAGAATCAACCCCAAATGTTCACATGACCTATTTGTGCCTGGCCTGTGGTACAGCATTCCAAGCTCATATTGCTCTGATCAGCCGCAGTGAGACACACTGTAACTTGACTCTTAACACAATGGTGTCATTTTGGCCCTCTTTAACAGCAAAGGACAACCGTCAACCATATACATAAGGGAGAAAAGAGGGAAAAGAACAAGTAGTACCTATACTCAGGTACTCATGCCAAAGTCCTGTAATAGTCCTATTGTCCTTGCTATGTCTTGTGGTATGTTTTTTAGCCTGGGACAACTTCATATTTCTTTAATCTCATTCTTTTTCTCCTAACCACCACTTAACCTCACTTAAATCATAATGTACCATTCTTCACATTAAAACAACAATGACAACAACAATATGCAAACAAATTATTGTGGCCATAACATTTACATATCTGAAATGTACAAAAGGGAAGAATACATTACAATGGCTGAATAGTTAGTATGCCTCAATTTGTTTCCATCTTCGCATTTATGTAGAAGCAGGCTGTTATCTGTCAATGGCAACTTTTCTATTTCACCAATATTACTGTTGTGGAATCAGGATCATAGGCATGTCCTATTTTGTGCTTAGAGACTGGTATCCCTACAAAGCCTTGTGATTAGACTAGGCATTGCTAACATGGAGAAGTATGGGAAGATGTGTTCCCAAAGGAAAGAATCCTAGACCTAGGCAGTCCAATGGAAATCATGTGCTCAACTTACAGTATTTTTTTTAGAACATTCCATTCACAACTGGGACACTATGTCCTGATGACTATACCTTCATCAGTCTCTCTAATTCCCAGCGAGTATTCTTTGGCTCCACTATTCCAGAGCTGGGCTGTTCTATCCCTTCCTCAAGGTTATTGGGAGTACCCTAAAGGGTTTGGAGGTCTCTCTTCTCTAATTGCATTTACTCAAGCCCATACTGATTGTATTCCCTCCAAATGCTAGTGAGTAACCAGTATGGTAACACCTTGGGGGCATACTCTCCCCTATGCCACCTAGTCTCTGGGAAGAATGAGTTTAAATTTAGCTCAGTTCCTGGATAGCATTGGTCCCACCAAGTTTATAACCTAATGTTGACTTTTGGCTGGCGCTGCTGCTACATGAATCTTTGTCTTAGCTAAGATTGATGGACTAATGGAATGGATCCCAAAGGTAGTAACACTCTTAATGAACTCACATTCTAATAGAAGGAAACAACTCATATGTGAGATTTCAGCTGCAAGTCAGATAGACAGGTCCAATGGTCCTTAAGGTATAGGGGAAAGATTCTTGCTAATATATCTTCTTTGAAGTCATTTCCCTTGATAAAACTGTATGCCTTTTTGATACTGAACTACTTGACAGTGCTAAGAACATTGGTAACAATAAATTTCTTTTCCAGGTCTTAAGTATCTGTGACTGCTGAGGAGGTAGGGCTTCAGCACCTGTAGAAGCAATGGCCAGGTTGCATCTCAATCATGATCTGGAGGGGGGACTCCTATTTCTGGGGTTCTACTTCACATTGGTGGCAGTTGTTGGTGCTGGAAGGGGTTGAAGGCAAGGGATGCCATGGAATAATAGTAGCCTGCTCCAGTTAGAGGCTCTACTTATTAAGTTGGCATTATGATAATTTGAATATTCATGAAGATAGTTAAGTCCTGATTGTCATTTTTTAGAGCAATTGGACAAAAAAAAATGTTTTATGGCTTCATAGATGCTGCCACTGACTTGCTATGTAGTTATCTTTTTGGCTTTTGATTTTCCTTCAAATTCAAAACAAAGAAATAATGCCATTATAAGTTTTTTTTTTTCAAAACAGCATTTCAGGGATTATTTAGCAAGAAAGGAAAGAATTATATAAATTGAAAGGAATGTTCTTGCTACAAAAGGCTATCTCAGAGTGTGCCTAATTTCAAGTACATTTTTGTTCTTGTTTTCATGGTGTAAATAAAATGAATAGGCACATTGTTTAGAAATAGAAAAATAAGTAAAATTATTTCCCATAATTGGACTGTTCTGCTACTAAAAGACTGTGATGAAATCATGTGAATGTCTGACACTCATTGAATCCTGACATTGGAATTTTAAATGTTTACTTTACATGAATGAGAGAATCCACATTTAAGATTCCTGAACCAGTCTCTAGGAGTGTCTTTACATGTTTGAAATGATGTCTTGTCATTTTAAGTGGCACTCTTTAAATCATGTTCTTCTTCTTCTTACTCTAATAATAACTGTATTTTACTCTTTGTGACATTTCAAGTTGCTATCTACATTAGGATCAACTTTTAATGGAGGGTCAGATGATGGCAAACCTACACTTCCCAGTGTACTATGCAGCAGACATACGGCCATACAACCAAGAATGCACTTCCCAGGAGACTAATGTCTAATGTAGGGGATATTTTGTCATGAAGAAGAAAAGGAAATCCTGTTTGAAGCAGGAACAGAGAGAGAATCTGAGTGGAATTACATGGAAGAGAAGACTAAATATCATGTCTAGGGGGAAGAGATGGAAATCCTATAAGGAGGAGAAAAAACAGACAAGTCAAGTGAGAATTTCATGGAAGAGTCCTAAGTTTCTGAGGGTGACAAGTTGAACCAAAGGAGAGGCTCCAGTGGATTTGTCGCCACAGAGCTAGAGACTTCTGGATCTGTAGCTAGGCAAAGTGATGGCCAAGAACCATAAATGGTAAGGATTATGGCTGCCAAAAATGTTGCAGTATTACTGTTTTTTTCTCAATTTGCATGTGGGAACTTAAACAAACTAACCTTCTTATTTGAACTCTACTGAAGAAGAGGAAAATGGGCATGTACTCATTGTTACTGAGAATGTATTGTTTGTTTCACTTCCTTCCCTATCCTACTCATATGATATCACTGACCCTATGCTGTTATTTGACTAAGTTTTTTTCTTCTTTTTTTTTTTTAGCATAATAACAAATATCTAGACATAAGTTGACTTTAGAGGTCCCAAGTTTAACACTGGGATGGAAGCTTGAGCCCTAGCTAGGGTACTTATTTTCCAAATGTCCCACATTTAACTTAGCAGCCTATAAAGGGTAGGGTATAAAAATGGCTTATGCACTATTAATCAAGATTTCAACCATGGAAAAGCTATGACTTGCTAAAATGTGGGAGGAGTTTTCATTGTGTAACTATTGGCTCAAAAAATTATTTGCGTGGAACTCTTCTCATTGGTGAAGAATGTTCTGCACCAGAGCAGAGTTGATGAGAGCTAGAAAGAAGAGAGACCCTGATCTTCTGGTTTCCAGAGTCAAGAGAAAAACAAGATTTAATACTTTGATCATATCCCCATTCCCAGCTTATTACACTAGAGATGGGAATTTCCCCTCTAGTCAGATGTGAGACACTCTCTCTCTCTCTCTCTCTCTCTCTCTCTCTCTCTCTCTCTCTCTCTCTCTCTCTCTTTCTCTCTCCCTCTCCCTCGAGTTATTTACTCCTAATGAGAGATCTCATGTACTTTGAGTATTGTCTGGTATATACTCTTTGATGTATGCTTTCTCTGATTTCAGTTTCACTATTAATTTGGATAAATGGTTTATCTGCCATTAGCTATGTGTGTTCATTGTGGAATTTGTGTCTGGTAAAAAGGGATTCAAGCTTGGATGTATAGCTTGTGACTCTCTTTCCCTATTAATAGATAGCAACGAGAAGCATAGTTTGAACCTAAAAAATTATTTACCCTACTTAGAATAACAATGTTTAAGGAAGTAGATAAATATCATACTAGCCTAGCATACCATTTCTCTGAATATAGCCAGCTAGTCAGCCCCTGACCCCAATTTCCTGCTTCTCTGAGTGGTAGGAATCAAAGTCTTTCTTGGAGAAGGGTGGGGGCAAGAGACTCCAAATATATCTATTCTTGTCTCCCTGTGAACCACAGCGAGACAGACCCATATGCACATTTATAACCTACATGGGCAAAACTCAGTATGCCACCCCTACATTTGCTATGCTGATGATGATAAAGGGAGGATAGAGAGACTCTGTTTTTCTGAAAAAGATGCTCTTTTCCACATTATATCTATTTACCTTAATCACTACTTTTTTTTTAAAGGCAATTGGGGTTAAGTGACTTGCCCAGAGTCACACAGCTAGTAAGTGTCAAGTGTTTGGTCTGAGGCCAATTTGAACTCAGGTCCTCCTGACTTCAGGGCCGGTGCTCTATCCACTGCGCCACCTAGCTGCCCCTAATCGCTGCTTTTTAGACTCTAACATCATAGGCTTGCTGTGCTGTGTGAGAAAGAAGAAATGGCATCAAAAACAAATTAACCCAAAGATAAAAAACACAGCTGGATCAAAACAAATACACACACAGGAGATGTGTGCTGATTGTGGCACAATTTCAAAAACACTGGGGGATTGGTTCCCAAGTTATCTGAAAGAAGAGGAGATATCCAGAAAGTGAAAGGTGAGGTGATCAAAAGAGTATCAATAACTACTGGGGCAGCTAGGTGGCACAGTGGATAGAGCACCAGTCCTGAAGTTAGGAGGACCTGAGTTCAGATCCGGTCTCAGACCAAACACTTGACCCTGGGCAAGTCACTTAACCCCAATTGCCTAAAAAACCCCCAAACAACCAAACAAAAAACCCTACCAACCCATATGTATACTTTTTAATCCATATGAAACTTTGATGAGAATAATTTACAAATACATCAAGGGCATTCTTAATGAAAATATGAGAAGAGCAGATTGATCCCATTCTGTAGCAGATCAGGACTTAGAGAATACATGTTCTCATTGTGTTTATTGCATGTTGAGTATTTTTTTAAAAATGAAGCGAAATTCAGCCTTAAAGGCTCATCTCCAACTAGGTAAGATTCCTAGGTAGATGTAAAACCAGAATTTTTTTTTCTGATCCTCTGATTATTAATATAATGGAATAAGACAAGTAGATGTATGTTTGGTAGAGGTATTTGTTCCTGTCTTGTAAGGTGTTTGTTGTAGAGTCCAAAGGTGAAAGGGATTCTCTACAGATGTAGGTTTTCTAGCTGTTGCTGTTTGTAGATGGCATTGTGATTATTGTATCAGGCCCTGAATTCCTACAGAGCTTCCTAAATAAGACCTAAAACTTGCTCAAAAGTTTGACCTGACTATCCACACAGAGCAGGTGGGGTGGGAAAAAAAGTGAATTATGAATACCCGTAGTCCTGACCGTGATGTACAGCTGGATAGACAGCCAATAGAGACGGTACCTTGGACAGACAACGAAGGTGCATATTAAACAAGTCCCAGTTAGAATCTCACCTTCTACCGGAAGCCTTTCCCAACTCCTCTTAAATCTAGTGCCTTCCTCCTGTCAGTTATTTCCTATTTATCCTATACATAGCTTATTTGTACATAGTTGTTTGTATGTTGTCTCCTCCATGAGATCATGAGTTCCTTGAAGTCAGGAACTGTATTTTTACCTTTCTTTTATCACCAGCACTTTGCATAGTGCCTGTGAACTTCCCTTTATTTTAAATCTATTGCCCTCCCATTCCTTCTACCTAACTCTTGCTGAAACCTGACTCTCTTCTGATGGTACACCCTTCCTGGCCACCTTTCCAGTACTAGCTTCCCCTTTACTCCTTCTTCTTAGCTCACTGCTTGAGGTGAGGGAATTGGAATGCTCCTTGCTCTCCGTTGCCACTTCCAGTTTCTTTCCCTTCCTGCATCACTCAGTAACGTCTCTTCCTTTGAGGTTCGTGCTATTCATCTCTATTAGCTGATCAAAATCCTAGTAGCTATTGTCTACAGATTCCCAGGTCTCTCCCTTTCCTTCCTTAATGAGTTTGATATCTGGTTTACAATTTTTCTCTTCTCCCTAACTCCTTCTGAAAACCTTGCCTCATATTTTACAGAAAAAATGAGGCCATTCACCATGAAGTACCTCTTCTCCCCTCTTCCTCATCTCCTATCATTCAGGTACCTTCTACCACTTTCTCTTCCTTCACCCCTATTTCACATGATGAAGTGGCATTACTCCTTAGAAAAGATAATCCATTTATTTTTGTTCAATAGATCCCATTCCATCCCATCTCCTTCAACAGACTGCCTCCTCTGTCATTGCTACTCTTTCTCTTATTTTCAATATCTCCATCCCTGCTAGCTCATTTTCCATTGCCTACAAACATGTCTATGTCTCCCTTATCCTGAAAAAAATATCTATCATGTATATGTATGTATATATATGTATAGATATACATATGTGTGTGTGTGGGTGTGTGGGTGTCTGTGTAACTTTTGCCCTTTGTAACTAAAATCCTTGAAAAGGCCATCTACAATAGGTGCATCCACTTCCTTTCCTCTCACTCTCTTCTTAACCCCTTACAATTTGGTTTCTGACCTTATCATTCCTGCTCATCATCAAAACTGCTCTTGGTTACCAAATCCAAAGGCCTTTCTTAACCCTCATTCTCCTTGATCTTTGACACTGTTGATAATTATTCTATCTTTTCCGTCTTTTGACTTTATAAATTGTTTCTTCATGTCTCGTGGATTCACTATCTTTTACTTGCCCAATTCTGATTTTAAGGAACTATTTCCTTCAACGAGCTTTTGTCCCTCTTTTCCCATCTTGCCAATTCTGTTTTTTAAGGTATCATGTTATTCAGTGTTTTTTGTGCCTTTTATTGGCTCTCTTTTCATAATTTTCTTGCATTACTCATTTCTTTTCCCAGTTCTTTTCCCTCTACCTCTTTTATTTGATTTTTAAAATTCTCTTTGAGTCCTCCCAGGAATTCTTTGGTCTTGTATCCAATTCACTTCTTTTTTCTTTGAGGTTTTGCTTGTAGCTGTTTTGACATTGATGTCTTCTGAGTTTGTGTCTTGATCTTCCTTGTCACCATAATATATTTTTATGGTCAGGTTCTTTTTTGTTGTTGTTGTTTGCTCATTTTTTCCAGCCTATTTCTTGACTTTTAAATTTATGTTAAAGTTAGGCTATGCTCCTGGGCTTGAAGGGGTACTATCTCTCAAGCTTCAAGTTTTTTGTGCTGCTGTTTTCAGAGCTAGCTATTGGGGGTCTGTAAATTTTCAGTGCTTCCAAGGTAATATGATCTTAGGGGAGGTATGGTCACTGCTCTCCTGGCCTGTGCTCTGGTCTTTATCCAAGAAGGGATCTTATTCCCTTGCATCCACAAGTACTAGCTCTTGGATCTGGAACTGTGATCAGGTTCCTGCTCTCCTGTAACCACAAGCATTAGTGCTGCTTTCTGCCCTAGAAGTGTGACCAAGACCCCTACTCTCCTGCAACTGCAGGTGCTAGTGGTCCTCTTCACCCTGGAACTGTGATCTAGAACTGCATATGAGCAATGCAAAAGGGTCCTGCATGTAGTACCAGCAAAAAGGGTCCTCTGTAATCTTTTTCTGATGGACTGGTCAGTTGTCCAACCTCCTTACCATCTCCCAATGAGGCTGCTGATAGTGTTGCTGTGTGTGCTGTACTCACGGATGACTTCTACCCTATGTCACAGAACTTTTCTGCTGACCTCCTAAGTTGTCTTGGGCTGGAAAAATATTTCATCCTGACCTTTTGTTGGCTGTGCTGCTCCAGAATTCAATTTGAGGGCTTAAATTTGTTTGGAGGGGAATGTTGAGAGAGTTCAGCTGAGTTTCTGCCTGTGCTTTGCCATGTTGGCTCCTCAACTTATGTTTTGATTACTGCAATCGTCTGCTGGTGAG